ACACACACACACACACACACACACACACACACACACACACACCTTGATATGATGTCCCTCCACGTAACGCGTTGCGTCTCTGAAGAGACGGTACATGACGAAACCCTGAGGGTCGATGCTGTCGATCAGAGGATACGCCGTCTGCACACGAGAGGAAGCACAAAGCATGGATGCAAAGAGCTGATTTAATGTGTCGTCACGCCTCAGATTAGTAAATAAGACAGAAACACGCTTCTCTCCCCCCACGTGAGTTCAAAGTGGTACGATCCCATTAAAGAGGGCCAGCCTGTGTGGGAACAGCAGGAGAGGGAACTGTAAGCCGTCTCTATGAGCAGCTGCTGAAACGCTCACCATGCCGGTCTCTGCGGTGAAGACGACGATCTCGTAGAGCGGCGCCACCTGCTGGAACAGGTAATCGATGCCCGGACGTTTCTTAAAGCGCCAACCTGTTGCCAACTGCAGAGAGAAAGAGCAGCTGTTTAAACACATCTGGATTGAAGCGTAGGGTTTCCAGCTGCTGCTCATCATGAACAAAGTCCTGCAGCTTTTCCTGCACTTTGGTGGACGCGAGCAGTTTGCTTCCCTTTCTGAGTTTCTCTGTTTATCATAATAAAGTTTGATCACATGTTGTTAAGAATACAACACAACACAGTGTCTGCGAGACCAGAAAAGAGTCGTTAATGAAGGTTACATGAATCGTTTTGCAAAAGTATGAAGGCGTGAGGCACCGACAGCTGCAGGAAGGAGATCTGACAGCCACTGTCTGGGCACGCTCAGAGGTCGTGACCTCGTCACTCAGGCTGCTTTGAGTTAAACAGATAAAACAAGCTTTGTCCCATTATCACCTGTGTGTGTGTGTGTGTGTGTGTGTGTGTGTGTGTGTGTGTGTAACAGGAAGGAAGGCTGACACGGTCCAGCAGGTGAATGTGTTTGCCTGCTTTAACCGGCGGCAGGTGTTGGCTGCTGCGCACCTGTCAGGTAAGAGGCGTGTTTTACACGAGTGAAAAGGAGCAGACACTGAACGAGCGGACAGGTGGTGGACACGCCTCCAGCACATCCTCCACCTGTCTCTCCTGAACTGTAACCTGTTTGTTAAAGGATCATTTCAGGATTATTCAGTCTTGAGGAGTTCACTGTAGCTCTTTGTGTGCTTCAAGTTTAAGGGAACGAGGACAATAAGAGGCCAAACACAAGCTCGCAGCAGCTTTCTAAAAAACAGCAGGTGAGGAGCCCTGGAAGCAGGAAGCTACGTACCACAGCTCTAACTCGGGTTTCTTTGTTGGCGACTAATGGAGTTCATCTCCTGAGACACCGTTTGGCCAAACAATTAATATCCATTCTCTTCCGTTTATGTAATTCAAGGTCACAGGGGAGGAGCCTATCCCAGCTGTCTCAGGGTGGGAGGCGGGGCACACCTTGGCCAGGTCGCAGGTCTGTCACAGGGATAACACAGCATCCATCCCGTTTTGGCTGCAGCAGGTCTCCTTTCTAGAAATCTGGTTAAATGTATTAGACCCTCCAAAACGTGACGATCCAGAGTTGCAGTCTTACACGCCTCTCTCAGCTTCTCTCCTCCTGTTTTCCTCCAAAGGCCCATCAGAAAACATCATCTACAGCTACTCTCAGTACCATTGGTTCAGGTGGTCTTGACTCCAAGTCTACTTTATACAGATAAGGTGCTGGGATCAGGGGTATCTGTAACTGACAGATTCTAATCTGTGGGGCTGGTTGTAAAGGATCAAATACACCACGCTGTTGCTTTGCTCCGAGTCCACACCTCTGCAGGGCTGACAGAGCACTGACAGAGCATGCTTCTTCTGCCTGCTGATTCCTCACCTTCATAACGTTCTGAAGGAAGTTGGAAAAACTTGACTCATTTAACTTTAACAGTTTTCAGTTCTGTTCAGTTTCAGTGGGATTGCTGCAGTGTTACCCTCCAGCTTCCCATTGGACCGTTTATAATCGACAAAGGCTGTAAAGCTCTCGGAGAAGCAGACGTACCGACCACTCCGGGTGCAGCAGGACGTCTGTGAGCTCCAGCACCAGCGTGTAAGGAGGCTGGTAGTACGGCTCCTTCAGAGGGTCGGGGAGCAGCTTCGGGCTCGTGGGCTCGATGATCATCTGACATCATCAACGAGAGACAAACAAAGACGAGGTCACAGAGAGCCTCTAAAAGTCCGAAACAGGTAATGCAATAGTTCAACTGGCTGCACTAAAGCTGGGTCTTCACTTTAATCAGATCTTAATTGTTTGACTCTCATGAAAGTTAGTTCTGGATGTTTCCATGCACCGACGCTGACTGGACTCACCTGCCTGTAGTCCTTAAAGTATTTGTAGGTTCTTCGTAACTGTTGGATGACCGGAGGGTCTGAAAGAAAAGGGAAAAGTGCTCAGTTACATAAGTGAATTGACTGTGAGACGGAGGCTGACGGTGCAGGAGATGATCAAAGAGGAGGCGGGACTCCTCTGTTAGCTGCTTAGAGCCCATTTAAAGCCGACAGATGACCGAAAGTGAGCACAGCTGTAGTTCTAATGGCTTCTGAAAACTACAACTCCCTGAGGGGACGCAAACAGCTGATAAGATCTCAGCGAGTGCGCGTGGAGCTGGACTTCCAGCCAAGCCAAGCCGACGCTGAAGCCGCAGGTCTCCGACAGCTCGGCAAACATCACGTTCAAGTCATCTCCTCAAAAAGCAAACGACCATTTAATACGGAGGGAAGATCTATTCTGTTGGCTGCGATTCCCTTCTACCAGTTTTGAACAAACCAGCAGTAATTTTGGGGGAAATGCGACATTTTAAGATCTTTTTATTTTCATCTTTTTCTCATTTTTATTTATCGAGGTTCCCACGGGAACCCTGGTAAATAACAGCAAAACACACAGCGTCCATGATCTTCTTCATACATTTCTGTGAGATGGCATTGAATGTGATTATTATGTATATACTTGTATTAATTTTTAAATTCACTTTTAGCTTTAACAAATACTGGAGTAGCAGGAGGAGATCTGATTGGTCAGAATAAAACCCAAAGCTGAGCTGACTGGTTTTTATCAGCGTGGTGATCGGGGGAGACGATGCCGAGTCTTCGTGCTAATGACTACTAAATAACAATGACTCCATTTCCCATGGGGTGGTGGGCTCATTACTGCACACCTCTATCCTTCATCTCCCTCTAAACACAAGCACTGAGAGACGCACGCTGTGTTCCCGAGGGACTCAGTCCCCCAGAGTTCATTGCAGGAAGCGAGGGAGCCATCTGCCTGATGTGATGACACGCTGAGGAGGTGGACACACACTGTGTGGAAATATGTACATGTATATATGGTTAATAATTAGAGAGGGGCGGAGCAAAGGAGAGAGTGCATGACTCCAAATTAGAAGGTCAAGCATCCATCCATCAAAACACGGACAGCAAAGATGGAGCTCAGATTCCTTATCGTGTTCCACTCAGCCTGTGAAGACGAGGTCTTCATTCCCACGGCACCACTCTGCTTTGTGTCATTAACAAGAACAGCAGATCTTTTAAACGAGGACGGGAAGGCAAACAAAGCAAGCTTAGAGCAGGCAGTTTTCAAAATAAAAGACCCTGTGGAGACCTGGATCACTCCGCTCGAGCTCCAGCAGTGAGTCAGTCCTCATTAAAACTTTACAGCAGAAATAAAGGTGTTTACAGCCTAATTTCAGCGTTCAGGTCCTGACAGCAGCAGAGAGGCTGACGTTTCCCTACAAGCCAATCACATTTATATTAGAGCTGACATCACATGGCCCGACTGTGACCACCGTCTGAGCTCAAACACCGCAAAAACAAACCTTTACTGTCATTTAAGAACTTCAGTAATCCTGTCCTGTCTAGATTACTGCAGATTACTTTTCACTGTTTGGACCACACAGCTGGGCCGTCTCTCATATTCTTGCTTCCTTAATTGGCTTCTAGTGAAATCTGGTATTTATTTGAACATTTATAAATAATGTGCAACACCCTACATGGCTCCTGCTTATATCTCAGATCTCCTCTGATCTTATTCCTGCCTCGCCGACCATCTAATCCACCACGTCCTTTTATATCCACATTTTGAGGTTGGATCACTTTGGAAAAGACTTCCTTCTTCCATCGGAGCTTCATTTTAAACATCACGCTCAGTTTGTTCTGGTTAGATCCCCTGTACGGTTGTCTGTGTATATGTTGGTAATTCTTCAATGTTTGCTTTTATCCAAATAATAAAATACTGTAACTGTATCCAGATGGCCCCGCCCCTCCCTGAGCCTGGTTCTGTTGGAGGTTTCTTCCTGTTAAAAGGGAGTTTTTCCTTCCCACTGTCGCCAAAGTGCTGCTCATAGGGGGTCATATGATTGTTGGGTTTTTCTCTGTATGTATTATTGTAGGGTCGACCTTACAATATAAAGACCTTGAGTTGACTGTTGTTGTGATTTGGCGCTATATAAATAAAGTTCAGTTAAAGATGTCCAGAAGTAAACAAGGAGATGACCATGCAGGGGAGACTGAGCACATTTAAATCTGGTTTCTGTTTCGATGTATACTCATATACGCATGACATTTACAGACATAAAAAAAAAAAGACAAAATGCCAACAAATATCCAGAAATATCCACAAAATCGAGAAAAAAGTCCAAACAAAATAACCAGAAAATGAGACCAAAACACCTGCATTAAGATCCTAAGAAGCCCAGAAATAACAACAAAAATCAAAACCATGAAATGGCCACAAAGAGACAGACAACAAACTCTAAGACACACAATGACCTGAAAGGAAAGATAAAACCTCCAGTGAGGTTTTTCCTGCTCTGCATGAGCATCTGCAGAAACACGAGTGTTCAGATTATTTGTGACAACAGCTAGATTACACACGGGGGAAAGTAGTGTGTGATGTCAGAGAAGGTATGTCCATCTTTTACATACAGGCTGTGGGGTGCTAGCAAACAGATGGTGTGAGAGTAATGAAATAAAAGAGGAGCGATGATATCCTCGAGGCTGAAGAAGAGGATGTTTACGCGTGCAGGCAGCGTGGGGTGTAAAGCGTGGCTGCTGAGTAACCTGTCCCCTGGGAGCCCCACCAAACACACCAGGAAAAGTGTGTGTGTGTGTGTGTGTGTGTGTGTGTGTGTGTGTGTGTGTGTGTGTGTGTGTGTGTGTGTGTGTGTGAGAGGGAAATCTAGGACGCCAGTGTGTGGGGATATCCTCCACAGAGGGGAGGGGGATTAATCTGGGCTTTTATCATGTTAATGGAGCAGAGGAGAGGTGATGGAGGTGGTGATGGGGGAGGAATCTGTCTTTCTGACAGTTTCTACGACTGAGAGGAGGAAGGTGGTGTTCGAGGCAACACCAGGATGTTAACCACATTTTACTGGATTACACTGGAATTTGTTTCAGTTGTCAAAATGCAGCCAAAGACTGGTTTCGCTTCCTAAACGAGAATATTTTCCCTTTCTTGACTTTTCTTTCGTTTATGAGGTGGAAACATGCAACACACTCCAAGCACGGCCTATTCTACTGTTTCCAGCTCTGAAACAAGCTGTTTTAGCACCACCTTAGATGACCCCGTCTCTATGACCTCACAAAGATCCAAGAGAAGAGAAAACAATCTGAATCTGAGTGTTAAGAGCAGAGAAGCTCAGTAAGTTTTTACTGTTTCTGAAATAAAAAGGTGGGGGAGGAGGAGGTATGATGAAGGCGACAAAGAGAGGGATAGAGGAGTAAGGGGATGAAGAAAGAGTTAAAGAGGGAGGTGTGTGGAGAGATGGAGGTCTCTGGCCTTAAACAAAAGCCACAGTGAGGACGGGCATCTGCTGCACAACGCCACCTCCTCCTCTTCCTCAGATATCAATCGTTTGCTTTCTCTCCGGGTGACAAACGACGGCACGCCGTGGCCTCTTCAATGTGTTCATACGAGGCCCCCGGGCTGACTGCGAGGGGTTATTAATGCTCCGGCAGCAGGACGCAGTACGAACGCGTCAGGTTCAAACACCACGGAGGGCTCGGCGTGGACAGAAAGACGGTTTTTAGGCTTAGAGCGCACAGATCCACCAACGTATGAACAGCAGACATCCAGGGGACATTTTTAGGGCTCAAAGAGCTGCCCACTCACAGTGTCACGATATGAAGCAATGTGAATATGAAGTGCATTCTGGGTAAATGTTGAAGGCTCATATCAGAGTGTGGGACAGGTGGCAGGACGTGAGATTTCCCCCTTTCCACCATCTCCAAGTCTAGTCTGTCGCTCTGAAGGTAAAACTTTGCATTGTGTGTGCGAGGCGTGTCACATGCTGGTTGCTATGGTATCCGACACTCCTCAGCATCACAGACACAAATGCCGTCACTTGGCACGCGAACAGATTCTGCAGCCAAACGTGTCCCAGAAGTCCCATTCGCACATCCATCGCCCCACTCACCTTCTGCCGCTCCCTGAGGAGGAGGAGGAGGAAGGTAGAATATAAAAGAGGAGTGAGGAGGATGAAAGATGTGGAGGCGCGTCTCCCTGAGGGGTGGTGAACTTTTAGGTTGCTCCCTAAGCTAATCAGGGATCATTTGCCCCTGGTTCCTAAGGTCCCGCAGGTCATGATGTGCATGAATCCACCACTCATCACCATTCTGACATTTCTTCTTCTCCTCGCTGTGAATACATTTACAGCCCCTCAGACCGCATGTGAGAACTAATGATGAAGGTCGGCTCTTCCTCAGCATCTTCAGTGTTCGTCATAACTGATGGTCTGCTGTCAGAGAGCGCCAGCAGCGATTTCTACTCCTGAAGCAAACCGGCTGCAAACACCAACGAGCCGTTTTCTCCTTACAGTCAGTATTAATTAAAACAGCAATAAAGTCCTTCTGTGTGCACAGCTAAACGTGACGCAGATCAGTTTTTGTCCGCTTCCATCTGCCGCGGGTTCGTTTCACGCGGCGACGGCGGCGCTGAAACTGAAGCCGACTGAGCTTTGAAGCCTGCAGACTTCTGTTTCACTTTGTTCTTGCTTTGGTGTATGGATGTGGATTTAGATGCATCTGTGCGGCTAATGCTGTCGTTCACTCTTGTAAAAGGTTTGAATTTTCCTGTTTGAATAAAACGGACAACTTCTAATTTAAAGGTTTCGTTATTTTTTTCCACTATAGATAAAATATCGAATATAAATCTGACAATGATTTGTGCTTTAATCCTGCAGATTAACAGCTTTATGTAGAGACGTTAAACTCTTTTCTCATGTCTGACACACTGTTCCAAGGACACGGAGGGAAAATGATCATTACCTCTACAAAAACTTTCTGTTCTGCACAGAAACTTGAATTAAAAGCAAAATTTCGTGTATAAAAACAGTTTAAGAGTCAAACTGCTGGTTTAAGAAGATCAAACTGTGACGTGGGGAGCTGTCCACACTGTAAATGAGTGTGTGGTGGACAGCTGTGAGCGTCACATCAGCCCGGATCTAATCCACTCATCAATACTCAGTGTCCCTGAGCTTCAGTCCAACCTCGTCCTTCTGTTCATCAATCAATCGATCAATCCACACATCCTCCCTCTCTCCCGTCTGTCCCGACCGGTTCCAGCCTCGGCATCGCGAGCTGCCGACCGCAGATGGAGACGGACAGGCAGAGAGGGGGCGAAGGCGTCACCCACAGAGGGAGGAGAGACGGAGGTTTGCAGCCAGATGAGGACAAAGTGGACCTCAGGGAGCGATTTAGGCTGGAAAGGGAGGACTGGAGGAGAGGAGGAGGAGAAGAGGAGGCAGATTGGACCCCCGGGAGGAAGAGATATTGACCATCTGATTATTAGGTTTAATAAGCAATCAGAATAGCTTTTTAAGAAAGAGAGCAGATCAATGCGAGGAGCAGAAAGGCCAGAAGAATGAAGATTTACTCTGTTTACATCATGTTCTTCCTCCTGCATGTAGAAATGATGCAGCTCTGGGATTCAGTCTCCATTCACTTATTGAATTTACATGAGCCACACATGGAAGCCGTTCAATCTTTTATAGATATTAATCGTAAGATGAACTTTGTCATCTTTGTTTCTAAAGCTTGGAAAACACAATCAGGAGAGATTATTTCTTTATTACTTCATCTGTAAATTAAGCTGCTGCTTCAGTTTTATAAACATCTTGTGAACCTGTTTGGGCGGAGCATGTAGTTTTCTGCACGACTCAGCAATAAAATCAAACCAATAATGACTGACGTGCATGAAGAGGTGTGCAGACGAGCATCTCGGATTGAGCAGATGAGCTACATCAGCAGAGGACCACACCCCGCCCCCCGTCAGTTATTTAAACCCTGCAGCCCGTTACTGTGACCACGCACGGCCACTTCTAAAAGCTAAAGGTGGTCCAGCCTGCTACTGGTCATCTGTACGTATGCAAACCTACTGCTGCACAGAACTGCACCTCAGCTAATGAACGCAGCTTTCCACACCTTCAGCATGCCAATGGTCTCCACATGTATTTTTAGCACTACTCCCATTATTCTGTCATCTTGCTAAGAGGCAGCGGGTTAACGGAGGCGATGAGCTGTAGTCTGTCTCGCTGGATGGAAACGTGTGCATTTGTGCTGACAGGCAGCTCAGGGGTGGGCGGGGTGAATGATGGGGCATATGGATGACTGGAGCAAACACAGAGCGAGAACAGTTGGCACCGAGTGATCAATCATTCACACAAGCAGAGAGCGCCTCAGCTGTGAGCAGTAAACACAGTTTAAGATCAGTTTAAATGTGAGCTCGAGCTGAGAAAAAAAAAAAAAAAAGGTTTACACTCACCTTTGTCGAACTCGTCTGGAATCTGTGAGGAGGAGCAGAAAGGAGGTGGTTACAAATCTGCTCTCATCAATCACGTCTGCTCATCAGAGCTGTGAGGGCAGCGTAAACATGCAGCTCCACATCGGTCTGCTTACTTACACGTGTGCTGATACACTGCAGAAAATAATTTTTATTTTATGTTCGTGACACAGACCTCAGGTGAGACAGGTACTGATCAGCTGATTATTAGCTAACAGGATTCAAATGAGATTTACTTATAAACAAAACAGCAAAAAGCTCAATAAAGTCTGAATAAAATACAATAAAATGCATTTATTTATCGGGACAAAATAAAACAGAGGTAAAAATAAATAAAAAAACTATCAAGTATCACAGGTATAATGTATAATTACATTATATGACTTCTATGATTCATCTACAGCTTCATGACTTTTTCTGGGCGTAAAAACTACACAAAGATTTGTTTTTAAAAGTTCAATTTGAAATTGAACTTTTAAGAAGGACGAAGAAAATCTTTTTAGAGACAGAAGATAAGATGATGAAGAGAGATCTGAAGTCGGATCTGTGATGAAGCCCTCCCCCTGGTGGACATGCAGCGACACTGCAGTTACTACACTGGACCACAGGTTCGCGTCACTGACTCTGTTGGACTTTGCTCACTTTAAGACTTTTAGGAGTTTATTCTGGAAATAAACACTCTGGGATTAGAGACACGAGACTTTACTGCAAAGTAAAAAAAGAATGACAGTGTGGGCTCTTCATGGCAATTTATTACTGATCTGTATGAGACAATAAAATCTCCGACTTGTATCCACCTTTGAAAGATTTTCCAGGGATGGCAAATAAATAACCGTCCTCACCTTCAAGGTTTAATCAGTGAATAAAGAAAAAAATGAAATAACAATTAAACGTCTGATTTTATTTATATTAAGAGCTTTTTCTGTTTTCCTGGGAATAATCCTGATATTCAAACAGATTTCCAAGATTCCTACCAGCTGATGCTAGAAATGCACTTTATTATTTTAATTCGACTCTTTAATGATTTTAATGTAATTCTGATGGGCAGACGTGTGGGAAAAGGTGGATGTGCATGAACCTCCTCTGGTGAAGCTCTTTTCTTTTTACAGAGTGGAGAAAATGGCTAATTAGAGGCGTGCAGATGCTCTCGTGCGGGGGTGAAGTGATGTCAGTGCAGAGGCGAGGAAGAGGCCGTTAAACCCTCATCGACACCTCGGTGCGACTGCAGAGCAGCCTGGGAGAGCGGGACGGGTTCCCACACCCCCCAAACTCGACGTGTCGAGGACAGAAAGTACAAAAACATCCCAGAATCTGAGCTGGCAAACGGAGACCACCGGCCGGACGGGATTCATCATTTAAACGTGTCGTGCTGGCAACAGAGAGCCCTCAAACACACACAACTCCACACAGACATCCAATAAAAGCAAAGCATTTCACTGCTCTAGTTTGTTTAACAGGCCAACCTGGCTGTGCAGGAACCTGCACGACTAGAACAGGAAGTCGTTTTCGGCGGTGGAGCTCACGTGTACGAAACATCAGAACTATTTTTCTTTGTACAAACGTTTCATTCTTAGAAAACTGAGATCGGCCCGTTTATCCCAGCGGTGCCTCGTTTGTTCACACACGCCGGCTCAAACTTTATGCCCACAAATCAAACGAGTGTCATCAAGTCTGGGCTCGTGGATTTTTGTTTGTTGTCATTTATGGCCAAAACCACGCTGCCCTCACACATGCACTGACCGTGTCACCCCTCCACACACAGACTACACCAGCTACGAAGTTCCGTCCAGCGGCGCAGAGCTTCCCTCGCTGCAGAGCAGAATGTTGTGCTTCTGAAAAACACCAATAGCCCATAAACATCGTCCTAATGATGAGAACCTCTCATAACATTTACATCTGATATAACTGACCACCTCATGATTCCTTGAGTATGTAAAGACTTTACATTTTGTAGTTATGAGAAAGTCATTATGAAGTCAAAGGTTATCATTTCGCCTGCATGACTTACAGCGTGCCAAACCCTGTAACAGGCCAACAGCTTGTTCTTCAGGGACACCGGGAGCTGTTCCTGGAAGAAGCCTCGGTGCTCACCACTTCTCCCAAAGCTGTCTGAGAGCTCCAGCAGGCGGCTGTTTGCTGCTCTTAATTCATTTGTGCTTCATCGGATTTTTACCCCGACGGCCGCCGAGCCGACCGTAACGTGTAAATCTGTTCACAGTGTGTCGTCTGAAGGGTTTCTCCTCCTGACAGCCGGGTCGTGTGACCTCACGAGGGGGGCAGGCTAGCAGGAAGGTGTGAGAAGTGTGCCTCGGCTTTGAAGCGGTCCGGCCCGCCTGCTGGCTCGACAGGATACAGCCGGAGGCTTTAATGTGAGAGAGCGGTCCTTACGGCGCAGCACGGAAAAGAGGCCGGCCTGCGGTTCCCGTGTCCTCGCGGCGCTGATTTTAGAACATTTACATCATACTGACCACAGTGTTAAATAACAGCAGAGGGTTCCCACAGGTCCGCTCACGTGTGAGACCTTGCATGCAGACGAACCACAAGGACGTCCACGAAAACCCTAAAAACAAACCTGTGCGTGTCAGCGTGAGCCGCGGTCAGCAGCAGGTTTCCCCACGCTGCTTAAACAGCCAACGCTCTGGTTTAAGAGTATTTTAGATGCACTTTCACAGATTTACTCTCACAAATATTCTCACACATTGACGGGGCCTCCATGTTACTCCTGCCATGTGCACTAACGCCCCTGAGCACCACCAGGGCGCTTTGTGCTGGGTTTCATGGTAAAGTTGGGCGATATCTAAAATTTTCCAGCAGATATTCATCAGTCCAATAAATGATGATAGGCGAGGTGACTTTTTGATGGGCGGAGCAATGTAATCAAACCCCAAAGTCGCCCATCAGGGATTTCTTTGGCTTCAAACCAGATGAAAGAGGCAAACCTGAGGGTGTAACCAAAGGCCTGTGCTGCTGGTGCACGCGCACAGCTCCAGCAAACACGACTAACCTGCATGAGCATCTACGTG